ATAAATATGAACCCTTTGACAAACATCCAAATTTTGATCGCGTGACCATCGGGATGCTGCAACAGTCAGAAGTATGAAAAACGGCCATAAGTCACTTTCTTTAGTGCCTTTGTGACTTTGGTTACTGATCGAACTGTTGTAAGTTGAGAACTACCTGACATGAAATGTTACTTCACTTCCCAGTATTCTTTTTTTCACAGGAAAAAAAAGGGAATTCTTCCATTGGTTTCACTCTGAAATTTCCAGCATGGAGGCTAAGAGTATAACGGATGTGACCCCAAATGTTTGAAGGCTATGAAAGTTGCCCAGGACCATGGGAAATGCTAAAGAACCTTTGTTTTCCATTAGAACGTACCTAGCAATCAATTGTCTATTCTTCATTGTGTTTCTTCAAGATTTATTATAAACTATGCATTCTCCTTTTGATTTTGCCCTCTGCTGTTTAGCAAAAAAAGATTCATGTCCAAATCTAGTTTTTAAGGGATCTGCAACTTTGTTAGATCGTGGAGGTCAGTATAGTAGGAGTTAGCTTTACATTGTTTTTATAAGCTAAGTAAAATAGTAAATTTACATTTGGAGTGCATAAGTATAATTCCTCATGTAATCTAATTGGATGGAAAACTAGGAAAGCGATCTCAGGGTTGTGTGGATAGGGGAAAAAAACTCAGCTGCAAATGCCATCATTTTCTCATCTGGGATGAGAAAACTGGCAAGATTGTGAAGCTTTCATCGTTCACACACAAAAAAAAGCACAGCTGAATTTGCACAACACGCTAATCCAAAGCCAAGTAAATAACCCAGGTCAGCATATCTGGGTACAGTATCCAGCTGGAGCTTGGCTTTTCTAAGTGAGCCATCATGTTTTAGCTAGACCGTTCCCAGAGCTTCTGGCACTGCCTTCACGTTAATTATTCAGAAAAAGGTAAAATATTGATGTGTAACAGTTGCAATCCAGTTTGCATCTAGAATGAACGGTGGGTCCTTTGTGCCACAAACGGCTTTTAGGAGTGTTCAGGGTTTTTTCCTCCTGGGCACTGTTCTTTTGTAGTGTTTTAAATTGGCTTTCATATTGTACGCCACCCAGAGCCATGAGAAAGCTTTATAAAATTTCATAAACCAATACAAAATGTGTGCCAAATACAGGAGATAGTTAAAATGGAGTAGCTTAGGGCAGATTCACCCCACCCCACCCCATTTATTGCAAACCATGGCGTTTGGTTAAACTGACGGGTTTTTTGTTTTTTTGTCCTAAATGCTGGAGATTTATTTATTTATTACATGTATTTATATGCCGCCATTCTCCCGAAGGACTCAGGGTGGCGAACACAAGTTAAGAAACAAGTACAATAAAATCATAATTTAATCCAAATAATTAATTAGTAGTAAATAATAAAGCCCGGAATCAGTCTCAGCCTATTTGTTTGAAAAGCCAAGTCTTCAAGTCCCGACGGAAGGAGTGGAGATCAGGAGCCGTCCGGTGCTCAGTAGGCAATTCATTCCAGAGGGTGGGAGCACCCACAGAGAACGCCCTACCCCTGGGCACAGCAAGGTGACATTGGCTCGCCGTCGGAACCCTGAGGAGAGCGGCCCTATGTGAGCGAACAGGACGGTGAGAGGCAGGTAGGAGAAGGTCATGCAAATATCCCAGACCTAAGTCATGAAGGGCCTTATAGATCTTCAGTCTGATGGTCTTCAGATGAAGTGACTGACAAAATCCCCCCAAAACTGATGCAAAAGCATGGAGGAACTAGCGACCCACAACCAGGGAGCAGATGTCTGGAGATTCTCAGTCATCCAGGTCATGGTTATCCGAAAGGTGCTTTTTCAAAAGGCAAAGGTGCTTTCAAAAGACGTTTCGCTTCTCATCCAAGAAGCTTCTTCACTTCTGCTTCTTGGATGAGAAGCGAAACGTCTTCAAGGAAAAACCAAAGTCCAGTTGCCTTTTGAAAAAGCATCTTAGGCAGCAGTTTCTTTCCTATCCGAAAAGGCATCATACATAACCTTCCGCAGAAGAGGATTTAGAAATGACCTGATCGATTGCTACACAAGGGGGTGAACTCCCAAGACTGATAATCTCTTAAGGGTTGCCTGAATTTTTGCAGCCCCAATCTAGCGGCTCCAATAAAAGCAGGGCCAGAATGGACTTCCAGAAAACTTTGAACTGCTGCCCTAATTTTCCCGGGACTGCTCCGATCCTCCCCTCGTCTATGGAGTCCTAGTTGTCCTGAAGGTGCTTTTTCGAAAGGCAACTGGGCTTTCTTATTTTTTTTTTTTTGAAGACGTTTCACTTCTCTTCCAAGAAGCTTCTTCAGCTCTGACTGGATGGGGAATGGAAGGATTTATATTCCTTGAAGACAGCTGGTCATTTGCAGTCTTCTTCCCTCCCTCCCTCCCTCCCCCCACCATCCAGTCAGAGCTGAAGAAGCTTCTTGGAGGAGAAGTAAAACATCTTCAAAGAAAAAAAAGTTGTCTGGTTGGCTGTAGGGGGAAAAAAAGCAGCTTTGGGAATCCTCCCCCTAGGTTTGGGCATTGAAAGAAAGCCAGTGGCCGCTAGAGATCCTCCAGGGCACAAAGCTAGCAGATCCGCCTTTCCCTTTCCCTCTCCTTTCTTCCCCTTTCCTCCCTTCCATTTCCCTTTCCTTCCGTTTCTCCCCCTTCTTTCCCTCTCTTCTCCCCTTCCCTTTTCCTTTTCTTCCCCTTTCCTCCCTTCCATTTCCCTTTCCTCCTTCCCTTCCCCACCCCCTTCTTTCCCTCTCCCCTCTCCCTTCCCCTTTCCTCCCTTTCCTTTTCCTTCTTTTCCTCTCTTCCATTTCCCTTTCCTTCCGTTCCTCCCTTTCCTTTCTCCTCTTCCCTTCCCTTCCTTCCCTCCCTTCTCTTTTCCTTCCCCTTTCCTCCCTTCCATTTTCCTTTCCTTCTATTCTTCCCCCCTCCCCCTTCTTTCCTTTCCCTCCCTCATTCCCCTTTCCTCCCTTCCTTTTTCCTTTCCTTTCCTCCCTTCCATTTCCCTTTCCTTCCGTTCCTCTTCTTTCTTTTCTCTCTCCTCTTCCCTTCCCTTCCCTCCCTTCCTTTTCCTTCCCCTTCCCTCCCTTCCATTTCCCTTTCCTTCTTGTTCCCTTCCCCCTTCTTTCCTTTCCCTTCCCTCTCCTTCCCTTTTCCTCCCTTCCATTTCTCTTTCCTTCTTCCCTTTCCTCCCCTCATTCCCTTTTCCTCCCTTCCTTTTTCCTTTCCTTTCCTCCCTTCCATTTCCTTTCCTTCCGTTCCTCACCTTTCCTTTCCTCTCCTCTCCTCTCCCTTCTCTTTTCCTTTCCTTTCCTCCCTTCCATTTCTCTTTCCTTTCCTCTTCTGTTCCCTTCCCCCTTCTTTCCTTTCCCTCCCCTCTCCTTCCCTTTTCCTCCCTTCCATTTCCCTTTCCTTCCGTTCCTCCCCCTTCTTTCCTTCCTCCCCTCATTCCCCTTCCTTTTTCCTTTCCTTTCCTCCCATTTCTCTTTCCTTCCGTTCCTCCCCTTCTTTCCTTTCTCTCTCCTCTTCCCTTCCCTCCCTTCTTTTCCTTTCCTTCCCCTTTCCTCCCTTCCATTTCCCTTTCCTTCCTCCGTTCTTTCCCTCCCCTCTCCTCTCCTTCCCCTTTCCTCCCTTCCTTTTTCCCTTTCCTTCCGTTCCCCTCCCCCTTCTTTCCTTTCCCTCTCCTCTCCCTTCCCTTCAATTTCCCTTCCCTTTCCTCCATTCCCTCCTCCTTTCCCCTCCCTCCCTTCTTCTTCTCCTCCTCCTTCCTTTCCTTTCCTTTCCTTTTCAGCCCCGCCGAACGCCGCCGCGGCCAATCAGGCGCTTGCTTTCTTTTGCTCCGGCCGCCTCACGGGGAAGCGGCGACCCCTCCCCCCCCCGCCTGCTTTCCCACACTCTGGGGACGGCGCGGGGGGGGGACTACAGTTACAGACGCTTGCAAGAGAGGGCTGGCCCCGCCCTCCGGGTTGAGCATATAGCGAGATGCCCAGATTTCCCCCCCCCCCCGCTTGTAGAGCTCGCTCCTCCCTCCCCGTTTCATAAAACAGATGCATTTTACAGCTCCGGACGGCGCGTTACTTTTCCAAGGGAGGATTTTTGCAAACTGGATAGAAAAAGTGACTCGGGGAAAGGAAGTTTGTTTCTTTTGGTGTGTTTTTTTTCCCCCCCTCCTCTCCTCTCCCCCCTCCAAAAAAAAAAATAGCTGGATTCCAGTTCAAAGTTCACAAAGCATCCCTCCCCCTCCCCCTCCCAAAAAGTGCAGTAGATTTTTTTTTTTTTTAATGCAAGATGGCGGACTTTCCCTGAACGGGCACAATCCGAGGACTCCACCGCAGCCTGCAAAAACATTCGCGAGGTAGGGCTTTTTTTTTTTTTTTTTTTTTTGGCTTTTTTGCAGCGGATCTTCGGCGCTGGGGCTATAAACCGAGTCCGGTGGTCGCAAGAGAGGGTTCCCCGTCCTCCACCCGCAACCCCACCGGGGACGACGGCAGGGTGAAGAAGGGGAAAAGCCCTCGCCCGCCTTTCCTTCCATAAGAACCACGGAGATCTCGAAGCCCAGAGAGACGAGAAGCGAGGAGAGGTTCGCTTCTTCCCGGGAAGATCCCTTAAAAGATCCGGAATCGCTTTGGGGGGGGAGGGAGCAGGGCGAGAAGAGCCAAGGGCGGCACCCCTCCCTCTTTATTTTCTGCCCGGGATCCCCTCCTTGGGGACCGAACTGGGTGGGAACCCGAGTAGGGAAAAGAGTGTGAACCCCAAATTTAGAGAATTTAATAGCCAAAAAAATAAAAATAAAGGATGGATCCCAGGAAGTATCTCCAAAGAGTTGGCCTCCTTTGGCAAGAAAAAACCCTTTGGAAGCACCCCCACTTCCCCTAAGCCCTCCGCCTGGAGTATTGTGTTGTGTTGTGTTCTGGTTTTGTGATGATTCAGAGGTTGTGGGGGAAACTGGAAGGACGAGAGAGAGCTGGATTCCAGTTCAAAGTTCACAAAGCATCCCTCCCCCTCCCCCTCCCAAAAAGTGCAGTAGATTTTTTTTTTTTAATGCAAGATGGCGGACTTTCCCTGAACGGGCACAATCCGAGGACTCCACCGCAGCCTGCAAAAACATTCGCGAGGTAGGGCTTTTTTTTTTTTTTTGGCTTTTTTGCAGCGGATCTTCGGCGCTGGGGCTATAAACCGAGTCCGGTGGTCGCAAGAGAGGGTTCCCCGTCCTCCACCCGCAACCCCACCGGGGACGACGGCAGGGTGAAGAAGGGGAAAAGCCCTCGCCCGCCTTTCCTTCCATAAGAACCACCGGAGATCTCGAAGCCCAGAGAGACGAGAAGCGAGGAGAGGTTCGCTTCTTCCCGGGAAGATCCCTTAAAAGATCCGGAATCGCTTTGGGGGGGAGGGAGCAGGGCGAGAAGAGCCAAGGGCGGCACCCTTCCCTCTTTATTTTCTGCCCGGGATCCCCTCCTTGGGGACCGAACTGGGTGGGAACCCGAGTAGGGAAAAGAGGGGGGACCCCCAAATTAGGGAATTTAAAACCCCCCCCCCCCCCAAAAGGATGGATCCCAGGAAGTATCTCCAAAGAGTTGGCCTCCTTTGGCAAGAAAATACCCTTTGGAAGCAGCCCCACTTCCCCATAAGCCCTCCGCCTGGAGTATTGTGTTGTGTTGTGTTCTGGTTTTGTGATGATTCAGAGGTTGTGGGGGAAACTGGAAGGACGAGAGAGAGAAGGTGGCGGTAGTGGGGCCAGATCCAGGCCTGTTCTGGGAAGGAAGCGAGAGAACTAACTAAGCCTTGGTAGAAACGTTCCCACCATCACCACTTTGGGCTCGCTTGAGGGGAGAAAAAAATAATAAACAAATAGAAAAGAGAACGCTGCGTTACGCGCCGATGGGTTGCACAAGAGGTTGTTGGGTTGGCCAACACCACCGGTGCATCTCCACCGGTAAGACAAAATGGGTAGTAGCTGCTGCAGCTTTAGGGTGCCCTCTGCAAAATCCACGGGCTTCAAGGAGAGGTAGGTTTGAAGGGGGGGGTGAGTTTGACACCCCAACCCCCAGGTTGGAATGGAGATGAACAGGCTGGCATAAATTGAATATAGTTTCCGTAGTTTGCTGCGATCCGTTCATAGTACACAGCTAGTCCTCAACGTACGACCCGCAATGGAGCCCAAAATTCCTGTTGTTAACGTGAGACGTTTGTTAACTGAGTTTTGCCCCCTTTTACGACCTTTCTTGCCATAACAACTATGGCAGTGAATCACTGCAGTTGATGACTTAATAATTTAGTAATAATAATAACTAATAATTAATAACTTACTAATAACTTGGTAATTTGGTTTGGAAGTGAATCTGGTTTCCCCATTGACTTTTTGCTGGTCAGAAGTTCGCAAAAGGAGATCATCTGACTTTAGGAAACTGGAACAGTCCTAAATAAGCATCTGAACTTCAATCGTGGGATCATGGGGATGCCGCCATGGTCGTAAGTGTGAAAAATGGTCGCAAGTCACTTTTTTAAAGTTGCTGTCGTAACTTTGAATGGTCCCTAAATAAACTGTTGTAAGTCGAGGATTACCTGTGCTCAGATTTATTGTAGGGTTTTTCTTATTACTTCTGGAGTACAAAGATGGTGGGCAGAAGAATTTCTCTACGCTTATAATGCTCAGTCGGGACTTTGAGGTGGGCTTCCCACCTCCAACTTTGTAATCTTGGGGTGCCAGATAGGACCACTCCCTTTTGGGTATCCACCTGTCTCTGGCCTCCAGGTCACTAGTTTGCCAAAAAGGTTCTTTGCATTTTTTTTTTAAAGTACATGAGAATCGCCACTATCATGGAATAAGGCAGAGGTCTTCAAACTTGGCAGCTTTAAGACTTTTGGACTTCAATTCCCAGAATTCTCCAGCCAGCTAGGCTGGCTGGAGAATTCTGGGAGTTGAAGTCCACAAGTCTTAAAGCTGCCAAGTTTGAGGACCCCTGGAATAAGGTCTCCTGCCTTGGACAGGGGATTGGATAGAAGACCTCCAAAGTCCCTTCCAGCCTTATATGTTCATTCATATTTTCAAGGCCACTTGGGCCATGCTGATGTTTAGAACAATAATCCTGGTAGAAGTAAAGAGTTTTCTTGAGGTGCCCGCCCACCTAAGGGGGAAAAAAACATAGGCTGGGATGCTACTTGATTATCTGGGCCATCGAAAGCAACTTCTTGTCGCTTAGAAGAGAAGTGTTTTATAAATAAGCCACAATTCCCATGGCAACCATGGAGACTGTAGAATTAAAGTATAGCTGGGCTATGGGAAATTTTAAGTTTCAGGTTGCTGGAAGGAAGCACAAGAGGATGGAGTGGGGCAAACCCTGTCCACATTTCATTCTCTGTCCGGTCAGTATTCATGCTGTTGCCTCTTGCTGGAAGATCCTTATGAGGTCCAGCAGCCAGTATGTGTTGACCAGGGGTGGGGAACCATGGCCCTTTTATGATTTGTGGACTTCAACTCCCAGAATTCCTGAGCCATTCCAGTCCCATGTCATAAAAGGGCCATGGTTCCCCACCCCTCGTGTAGACTATTTAGCTGTGACAAAGTCACATTGTCAAGGATGCATCATAAGGAGGCTAGTCTAAATGGCACTGTGGCTGTGGGAATGTCCCGCAAACTACCGTATTTTCCGGCGTATAAGACGACTTTTTAACACATGAAAATCTTCTCAAAAGTCGGGGGTCGTCTTATACGCCGGGTGTCGTTCTCCTGTAACCAGGCAGACCAGCCTGAAAGGCTCTGATGAGCCTTAAATGGCTCTGACGATCCAAGCTCTGACGATCTGCTAATCAGGCAACTCAGCTGGGATCGCCCAAATCCTGTATTTTAACAGGAAAATTCGGGGGTCGTCTTATACGCCCAGTCGTCTTATACGCTGGAAAATACGGTATATCATATTGCGACGGGATGGGCCCTCAGAAGTTTCCCTAGATCCCTGCAAGAACTACATCATCTTGAGGGCACTGTTCTTTAATGGCTAAACGATCTACATACCTTAACCACTTAACCACTCTACTAATTGCTCATACATAAAATTAGATTATGTTTTAATCATTTTAATTCATCATTCGTATTGTGTCAGTTTTTAAAATAATTCACAGTTCTGGTGTTCTATACAGATAGCCCTCGACTTACGATCAAAAATTGACCCCAAAATTATTTATTTATTTATTTATTAATCAAATTTCTATACCGCCCTACTCCCGGAGGACTCAGGGCGGTGAACAGCCAAGATAAAATACAGATAATACAAACATTAAAATTCCCTTAAAATTATTAAATATTTTGGCCGAAACACAGATTAAAACACCCAATTTATAAAATTTATGTTGCTAAGTGAGACAGCCATTAAGTGAATTTTGTCCCGTGGCTGACCTTTCCTTGCCACAGCTGATAACGTGAATCACTGCATTGTCAAATTAGTGACACGGTTGTTAAGTGAATCTGGCTTCCCCATTGACTTTGCTTGTCAGATGATCATGTGACACAACAGTCGTCATGAATACGAGTCAGTTGCCAAGCGTTTAAACTTTGGTCACGTCACCATGGGGCTGCTGCAATGGGTGTAAATATTGCTTAACGCATTGTAAGCTGCCCTGAGTCTCCGGAGAAGGGCGGCATATAAATCAAATTAAAAAAAAAAAACTGTCATAAGTCAACTGTTTCACTGCTGTTGTAACTTCGAATGTTCGCTAAACAAACTGTTGTAAGTTGAGGACTGCCTGTATTTCGATACACATTTTATGTGTTGTTTTTGTGAATTTTATGCATTATGCATTAATTCTATTATGCCATACAGAATAAATAAATAAAAATCTGTCCGCTCACTCTGTCTTGAGCTGACAGAAATCTTTCCCATAAATTCAGGGGACATAGTTCTTTGTTCCTACACTGGCAAGTTGTGTTTCCTGGACTTAACGTAACCTGGTCATGCTATTTATCAGCAAAGTATGTACCATTTTGTTTTTCAGACCAAGCGATGATCACTGAGGGATAAATGATGCTCATGCTTTCATCCCAAGGACTGACGGATAGAAACAGCTGGAATCTTGGAGGAGACCTAAATCAAGCATATGCAAACAGAAAGTTCTAGAATTCTGGAAAAATACCTGAACTCATGATAGGTACTCTTGGGCTACAACTAGCTTAATTTGAGGGCAGGATTTATAGGGAGTCCTTGACTTACGACTAGTCACTTAACAAGCGTTTGATGTTACGAAGGACCCTCAAAAGTTTCTTAGGGTCTGTTGTTGAAGTTATGAAAGCCTCACATACATCTCTGCATTTTGGCACTTGGCAACCGGCTCAAATTTACAGACATTTGCAGCATCCCCGTGAGCATGAATTGTGGTGTTTTTTGCCAGCTTTTGGTATTTACTTCCAGTTTCTGGCAAAAAAAAATGCCCATTGGGAAATTTGATTTGCTTAACGATTGTGGTATTTGCTTAACAACCACAGTGCTTGTTTAATGACCAAAATGCTGAAAAATTGGGTCTGGTCACCCAAAGCCTCAACTTAAGACAGGCTTAATTGCGGTCGTAAGTTGAGTGCTGTGTTAGACAAAAATCATTTTCATCCTACAGTCTTTCTCTCCTCATCTCCCATTGCTCTTCATTTTTGTCTTGGAAAAAACAGGTCAAAAAAGAGGCCGCTATTGGCCCTACAATGAGAAAGGCGCTTATCATATTTAAGAAAGATCACCTAACACAGGGGTGTCAAACTCAAGGCCCATGGGCCAGATCCGGCCCCCAGGTTGCTTAAATCTGGGCTGGAAATAGCAAAGGGCCGGCCCGCGGTGCCTCTGGCAGCCAAAAAGGGGCATGGGGAGCCACAGGCCACACCCCGTTTTGGTCACACACGTGTTTATGTGCATTAGAATAAAAAAACATCGTCACAGAAGCTGTTGTTTGTGCAAATGGGCAAAATATGACTTTCACACTCTTCAAGAACGCGTGTCTATAGTAACATCGCCTCACAGAACCCTTTTGTTACCTCAGCGGCAGTAGCCCAGTAGGATAGGAAAACAATACCTCATGGACGAATATGAATAATCTGGCCCAGGGGTCAGCAACCTGCGGCTCTGGAGCCGCATGTGGCTCTTTCACCCCTCTGCTGCAGCTCCGACACTCAAAATATGCGTCATAACCGCCAATGTGTGACACCCGTCGGCATGCGATTTATTGAACTTTTCAACCCCCGATAGGCCAACCATGAATAAATCCAAGAAAAGAAAAGTTTCAGAAGAAAACAACGTTTAATTCAACTACATATGCTAGTTTTGTGGCTCCTCAAGAAATAGTCAGGCACGGGAAAGGTTTTGTGGCTCCAGGTGTTTTCTGTGGGAAAATGGGTCCAAATGGCTCTTTTGAGTGTTTTAAGGTTGCAGACCCATGGTCTGGCCTAAGGCCTTCTACTGCCTGAGAATGCCATGAGTTATTTACAAGTAGTTTTCAACATTTCATTTAGTGTCCATTCAAAGTTACAACAGCACTGAAAAAAGGGACTTATGACGGTTTTTCACACTTAACGACCGTTGCAGCCTTTCTCCGTGGTCACATGACCAGAATTCAGATGCTTGGCAAATTACTCATATTTATGATAGTCACAAATAATACAGATTTTGTGATTTTCTGACAAGCAGAGTCGAGGGGGAAGCCAGATGACAGCCTTGTCACTAACTTAACAACTGCAGTGATTCACTCAACAAATGTGACAAGAAAGGTCGTAAAAGGAAGCAAAACTCGCCTAACAAATGTCTCACGTAGCAACAGAAATTTTAGGCTCAATTGTGATCATAAATCGAGAAGCAATCTGTATTATTTATTTATTTATTTATTTATTTGGTTAAATTTATATGCTGCCCTTCTCCCGAAGGACTCTGGGCGGCTCACAAAAGGTTAAAAACTGAAGAACAATAAAAAAAATATAATTAAAATCCCACAATTTAAAATCCATATTAAAACCAACTAAAAACACCCCGCAGATCAGATGAGTTCTTTAAAAAGCCACATCTTTAGGTCCTTGCGGAAGGAGTATTATAGATATTATTAACATTTTAAGATTTGTATCCTTAATATGTGATTGGGTTCACTCGTATTTTTCATTCTCCCATTTACATGAGGGTACAGTAGAGATAAGACCTATTTTAAACCCATTTGGAACTTGAACTTGTGGAGATCCTGGGAAAAGAAAGGGGTTTATGAAGATCAGGAACAACTTCTCTCATTGATACTAGGAAGACTTTAAAAAGTCAGTCTCTCAATTTTCTTCAGCTAAGCATCTCCTTTTTCTACATGATTATCAGCTTAAAACAGTGTTTCTCAACCTTGGTAGCTTGAAGATGGGTGGACTTCAACTCCCAGAATCCCCCCAGCCAGCAGCGCTGGCTGGGGGATTCTGGGAGTTGAAGTCCACCCATCTTCAAGTTACCAAGGTTGAGAAACACTGGCTTAGAAGAACTATAGGGAACCTATCCATCTATATTCAGAAATGAGTTCTTGGAGGAAAAAACAGTGTTAGGTCAGAGGGATCCTTGGTGTCCTCTGAGCTTGGTTGTTTTCTTGCAGATGTCTTATTACCCAACTAGGTAACATCATCAGTGCTAGTGTTAGGTCTATGCTTCAGAAAAAGGAAAGGAGTCTTATGGCCCTTTAAAGACCAACAAATACAATGCCATACAGGTAATCCTCATTTAGTGACCACAAATGGGACTGGCAGCTTAGTTGTTACGCAGTCTCTAAGTGAAACCACAACGGTGCTTATCATCTTACTTCACCTTTCGTTTGCTTTACAGACCTGCAAAGAGCATGATATGAGGATTGGTCACAAAATTACTTTTTCATCACAATTGCAAGTCGCTAAATGCGGTGTTGCTAAACAAAAGGACTACTGTATGAGTTTTCATTGACTTCAACCACTTCTTCAGGGGCAACTGCTATAGAATTCAGGTAAATGTGTGTAGAATTCAACCTAATAGCCACAAATCTTGTTAATTGACTTAGAAAAATGCCCCTTTATGGGGCTTTATGATTAGTAAGACTTCTGTTAAGTAAATAGAAAGATAGTTTTACACCATAAACGCTCTTCATCTTACTCCACCACCTAATTTCCTTTCTTAGGCTTGCTTTAAATCTCCTGATTTCACAGCTTCCTCTTTCATTTATTCCTTATTCAGAAGAAATGCAAAATAGCGAGTACAGAGAGTCCTTGACTTATCAACGGTTCATTTAGTGAATGTTCGAAGTTACAGCGGCACTGAAAAAAGTGACTTATGACCATTTTCCACACTTAGGACCCTTGTGGCATCCCCATGGTCATGTGATCAAAATTCAGATGCTGGGCAACTGACTCAGATTTATGACTTCTTGTGACTTCTTCCTAGCTTCCCTATTGACTTTGCTCGGCCAAAGCTGGTTGTGAAGATCACAAGTAGCAATCACATGACTGCAGGGAATTCTGTGAACACCATATCTGCACTCTAGTTGCCAAGCACCCATATCAAAATTACATGGCTGTTATAGTCACAACTTCGAGGTCATAAGCCTCCTTTTTTTTAGCCCTGTTGTAATTTTAAACAACTGCTGAAAGAGTAGTTGGTAAGCAAGGATTATTTGTACAGATTAACTGATGGGGTTGTTTGCCTTGGTTTAATTAGTTTTAAAAATTGTCTACAAACAGGAAAAAAAAAGTTGAGTTAGAAAAGCCATCAGCTGTGATCATAACTTCCTGCTGTTGCTTTGGGCTGAAATCTGCTGTTTCCTACTGTAGGAACTGTGGTAAAATGTGGAATCCTTCACTTACTTTCTTGATTCTCTAAACGGATCCAGAAGAATGGAGTGAAAAAAATTGGCTTCCAAACATCCAGAGAGTTGTATCTGTGTACATAAGGCTACTCGGTACTTATCTTAGGGGCAGCAGAAGCTCACAGATAATTATTTGCAACTTCCAGGGCTAAACCTATCCTAAACAATGATAGGGCAGATTCTTTTCTTGCACAGAGACTGGACGTAAGACAGGTTAATTATATTATCTCAATCTTGTTAAAGGAAACCACCGCTTCAAAGAATTACTGGCCAGTATTACCTGAACACTTGCACACATTCCAGAGCCCTATTTCTTAGGCAAAAACATCTTATCAAAGGGGAAGTGATTGTATTTTGAAATCTGTAGGACAGGGGTCCCCAACCTGTAGGTCACGGCCCACTACTGGGCTGCGGCCTTTTGGCCACCGGGCCATGTGAGTGGCTGGTGTGAGGCGATGCGATGGGGGCCCCCACTTGCGCGAGGGGGAGAAAGGGGATGGTTTTGTGGGAGGGGTTTGTGCATGCATGCACACGCACGAACACAAAGTGGCCCCACTTGTGCAAGCGTCCGCGGCCTCCCTCACACGAGCATTGTCGCAGTTGCTCAGAGCCCCACTCGGGAAAGCAACGGGTATTAGCAATGTGCATGCGAATGCGCATGCCCCTTCCACAAAACCATCTCCTCTTTCTCCCCTCTCCCTGCTCCGGGCTGCCAACCCAGAAATGTCGGAGAACTGCTGCAGAAGACATTCCTTCTTCTGCATTGTGGCTTAGACTGAAGGACACAGTGATCTACCAGACATGCGGTTTGTCCAGCGAGCACAGGGGTGTCAAACTCTATTTCAGGGTTGTGTTTGATCTTGGGGAGCGGAGTAGGCGTGGCCAGCTTGATGTCACTCGTGTTGAAGCCGCCTGTGCTGGCTCGAGCACTCTGCCAGCAAAAACGGGCTCACGAGCTCTGTTTTCGGCTGGGATTGCCTCCTGCAACCCTCTGCCAGCAAAAACGGAGCTTGGGAGGCCTGTACGTGGCCCTCCCGAGCTCCGTTTTCACTGGCAGAGGCACCGTGGACTGGTCCTTCGCTGTTTCCAGGGCGGCCCCACGGGCCAGATCTAAGCACCCTACAAGCCAGATCCATCCCATCCCTTAATAGAAGCAAGGTTTCAGTCTTAGGATCACATTAGTTAGGCTAGTTAAAATTCAGGCTTTCTTAAAGATGCGCACCATTAAGTTGTTTACAGGTACATGTTGCATGCCAGATGAAAATCCTCCCTACGAGTTCCCGGAGTAAGTGTTTTATGGAGCAAGACCTCTGTTTTACTTGGCAAGATTTCTGCCCATACATGAGGAACAATAAAGGAAACTGCTTAGAACAGCTGTTCCAACTTTTGTGGACTGGCAGGGAGGGGAAGAGGAGAAGGCTTGTGCGAGTGGCAGGCACTCACGTGCGCACAGTTCCATTTGTACAAGTGGGTGCATGCATCCTCCACACGCACAAATGAAGTTTTGCCCAGGCGCTCACCAATCACATAAGTAGAGCTTTTTGTGTGTATACGCTCGCCTGCTGCTTGTGTGGCCCGGTTCCAAATCCACTGTGGCCGGGGTTTGAGGATCCCAGCCTTAGAAGAACCTCAATATGTCTTTCTTGGTTTTCAGAGTCTAAATGAGATTGACTGAAATGCATATGGCCTCATATAATGAAAACAACTCTTTAAAAAAAATATCTCATTTTCCCCCTTTCCCTTTTCTTTTTTTAAATCCAGGGTGCACGAACAGTTGTTAAGAAGTTGCTGCTCATTGCCTTTTCCTTCGGACGGCAAGTTGTTGTCTTACTGAATTGCACTATGGCGATGCTGCTAAGGGCCAAAATTGGGAGAAGCCACCCTGCAGAGCAGTAGTGCCCAAAGCCTCTGAAAAGCTTGAAGGGTTGAAACTTGAATTGGTTTGGCTCCGTTGCCTTTTCGTCGGAGAGGAAATGGCGAGCAAACGAAAATCCACGGTGCCTTGCATGGTCCCGGCGAGAGAGCCGGATATGGATCTAGAAGCCATATCGGATGTTGAGGAGGTCTTACCGGTGATGACCTCTGCAGGAAGCGTGTCAAGCGATGAGGACTCTGGAGAATGTGCCGATTCAGACAGCCAGCTAAATAAAAAAGTTGAAGGCGGCTACGAATGCAAATACTGTACCTTCCAGACTCCTGATTTAAATATGTTTACTTTCCACGTGGATTCTGAGCATCCCAACGTAGTCCTCAGCTCATCTTACGTCTGCTTTGAATGCAAATTTGTGACCAAACGGTACGATGCTCTTTCGGAACATAATACCAAATACCATCCCGGAGAGGAGAACTTTAAACTGAACATGGTCAAACGCAACAACCAGACCATCTTCGAGCAAACGGTGAACGACCTGACTTTCGATGGGAGTTTTGTCCAGGAGGAAAAAACGGGAGAAGAATCGGAAGGCTCAGAAAGCCACTTGACTGGCATCTCCATCAGCAAAACCCCCATTATGAAAATGATGAAGAATAAGAATGAAACAAAGCGAATTGTGGTTTTTCACAACGCCGCCGAGGATGATCCCACAGAAGAAAAAGATGGTGACACCGATGTGGAGTGTGAAGAAATTGTAGAAAAAGGAGCCACTGCAAGTTCAGATACCAACACAGATAATTCCTCAGCTGGGGAAGCAGCCCCCCCGGTTGTGAACCCCACCGCGGTGATTCAGCCTGCTCAGGTGATCACTACCCTCGCCTCTCCACCGACATCTAATTTAATTTCTAAAGTCTTGATCCCTATTAATAGCATCCCAGCCTATAACACCGCTTTGGATAACAACCCTCTCCTGCAGAACACTTACAATAAATTCCCATATCCAACTGTGTCAGAAATTGCGCTCCTGGCTACTCAAGCTAAATACACCGAGGAACAAATCAAAATCTGGTTCTCCGCCCAACGCTTAAAACACGGGGTGAGCTGGACCCCGGAAGAAGTAGAGGAGGCAAGAAGGAAGCAGTTTAACGGCACGGTGCATACCGTTCCTCAGACAATTACAGTGATTCCAGCACATATTTCAGCTGCCGGTAACGGTCTGCCTTCCATTTTGCAGACTTGTCAAATCGTCGGCCAACCGGGCCTCGTCCTTACACAAGTCACGGGAACCGGCACGCTTCCCGTGACGGCCCCCATCACCTTGGCGATGGCAGGCGTTCCAAACCCAGCCCAACTGCAGAAAGCCCAGGGCCAAGCTACACAGCCTGTTCCCGAAAGTAAGCAACAAGTAGCGGCTGTTCCCGCGCCCCAACTTACGAAATCGGAGGTGGTGGCGGCCGCAGCCACCACCAACATTGACACGGTTGCCGTCCGGGCAAAGAAGACGAAGGAGCAGCTGATGGAATTAAAAGTCAGCTATCTGAAAAGTCACTTCCCTCTTGATTCGGAGATAATCCGGCTGATGGAAACCACAGGGTTGACCAAAGGGGAGATTAAAAAATGGTTCAGCGATACCCGGTACAACCAGAGGAATTCAAAGCACAATTACCACAATAATCAGAACAGCGATTCTTGCACTATCGTTATTGACTCCAGCGACGAAACGAGTGAATCCCCCATGCTGGTTCAGAAGCAGTCTTCTGCAGCCTCGGATTTGAGCTCTCAGAAGTTCAAAGACAAGACTGTGGAGCAACTTAAAGTCCTCCAGGACAGTTTCCACAACCACCCAGTCCTTTCTGAGGATGAACTGAACAGGGTAAGTTCAGAAACAAAGCTGGCCAAGGAAGAGATAGAGGCTTGGTTTGCAGAACAGAAAAAAATGAGTGGTTTTGCAGAAGAAGGTGAGGAGATTTCTGACGGTCATGCCGAGAGTCAGAAGGAAATTGTTGTAGTGGAAACCTTTGGAGGTGAAGGCTCTGGAGCTCTGAAGGCAGGGAAGCCGGCCAAAAAGTCCCCGGAGCAATTGCACATGCTCAAAATGTCATTCATCCGAACTCAGTGGCCTTCTTCCGAGGAGTATGACAAGTTGGCCCGAGAAACGGGGCTTCATCGAACGGACATCGTGAGTTGGTTTGGGGACACTCGCTATGCCTGGAAAAATGGTGGCTTGAAATGGTACTACTACTATCAAGGGAACAACGCAAACAGTGCCAATGGTCAAGGCCATTCCAGGCGGAGGGGAAGGGGAAGGTCCAAGGGGAGGGGTCGGGGTCGGACACGCGGGCGGCTGACATCCAACAAAAGGCCCAAACCTTGGGACCGAACCCCGGTCATCAAGTTTAAAACTGGAAAAGCGATCCTCAAGGATTATTACCTGAAACATAAGTTTCTTAATGAACAGGATCTCGACGAACTGGTTGCAAGGTCGCACATGGGCTATGAGCAGGTCAGGGAATGGTTTGGAGAGAAGCAGAGGCGAGCCGACCTTGGCCTGGAGCTGTTTGACGAAGAAGACGAAGAAGAGATGGTGGACGAGCAGGATGACGAAGAGGAGGAGGAGGAGGAGGATGAAGAAACCGACGACAGCGACAACTGGGAGCCACCACGGCACGTTAGGCGTAGGTTGCCAAAATCGGACTGACTTGGACGTTGTTGGCATTGTCAGAATGCAACCTTGCCATACCATTGGCCTTGCCAAGCAATTGGTGCTGACCTTCTACGCCTAGCAATTGTCTACTTTGAGTTTGCTCCACGTGGAAGGCAGAACTGAGAGATTGACTTTTGCATCCCTTGCAAACTTGTGGCGCAGGAATGGAAAAGCAAGTCTGGAACTTAGACTTCCCAAGTTTCCAGAAAGTTAGCCGTTGTCCATATCTGCTGATAGAGGCACGTTGAAGGGACTATGTGCTCAATTGCCTTATGTTTGCTTCCAAAAACCCTGTCAGGAAAGAGGTTCAGGTTTTTTAAAAAGAAAATGATAACCTCTTTGGGCTGAAAGAATTGTCACTAAATGAAAAGTGCTCATGGCGTCCCTCTTGCTAAGCTGCATGTCAGTTTTCTTCCCTCCAAACATAAGAAAGCCTTCACGAGAAACTTCAGGTTCTTGAAAAGACGTCCCTTAGAAGAAAATCAAGATTTGTTGGCTATCTTCCCAGCATGCAAAAATGATAAATCACGGATTTCACTTACAGGAAGACGAGATTCTGGTAGAAGGTTGAGGGAGATAAAACCCCATAGATAAAGAGCAGTTCATCGTTTCTCCAGAGAAGTGATGGGCATGTTGAGACTAAACCACCATCGGTTGGACATGCATTAATTTGGATTATTAACCTGAGAAGGTGGCTGGCCACAGTGACCGCTTTGGCTCTCTGAGTCTAGGAATATAAGATGATTTGGGGAGAAAGGTTACCAAAGGTGGGAAACCATGGAAGGGTGATAGTTGCTTGTGGTTTTTGAGTTTTGTTTTTTTTTTTAAAAAAGGAAATTAGAGGAAAGGACTATCTTTGTTACATACAGAGCCTGTGTACTAGGTTTACAGAACTCCTGTTGAATGTGTCTCTCTAGCTGTGTTCAGGGAATTGGGGTCCGAAGTATGTTTTTATATTAAAACTAATCAGTGTATATCGTATTTAAATACTAGAATCAATTAATGCAGCCAATACCAAAAACTTGGCTTGGATTGTGCAATTCTTTTTTTCCTTCCGTCTATCAAAGTAACATTTTCAGGTGGAAAACCCATTTTCCCTAAAGTTCTGCAGGATAGTTTCCTTAACGAAAGCTTCATGGCTGAGAAGTCACCCAAGGGGCCTTATGGGAAGCAAGACTCATGAATTTTTTTTTTTTGTCTTCAGAATGCCTTCAATTGTCGTCTTCTACCCCCTTGTATCAAGACTCTTTGGACCTGTGTTTCTCCGCCGTGGCGGCTTGACAATATGTGGACTTCCAACTCTCAGAATGTGTGAAGTTGGGTGGACTTCACTTCCCAGAATGTTGAAGTCTCCATGTGTAAACTTCAACTCCCACAATTCATGGCTGGCAGGGGAATTCTGGGAGTTGAAGTCCACATATCTTCCAGTTGCCACGGTGGAGAAACTCTGTTTTGGACAATAGAACTTGGTTCTGGTGCCCCTCCTAAGAGAAGATGAATGTCCACCTGATGGAGGTAGTGATTCTGGCCAAGCGGAAAACAATCCATGAATCACAGATTCCTACCAAGCCATTTCCAACTGAGTATCTCCGTTTCCTGGCTCAAATGTACCTACCAGCTGGGATTCCTTAAAATTTCTGCCTGCCAGAAGATGATTGGAAGGTGCTAAACGCAAGGTTGGGATTGAAACCAGTTGAGCAGGTTGACAGCTAATCTTGGTGGGTCAGGTCTCTCTTAACAGGATGTCAGTAAGGCACCTGCCCAGCTAGCCCTTGGTTCCAGAAAGTTTTTTTTCCCCCAGAAATAATCAGAATCTTATACACATATACAAAGACTTGCAGGAGTGTAGAGTTGTTGAATTCTTAACCTGATAAATTGCCGTTTTTGCAATTTCATGCAAGAGCTCGTCCCCAAATATCTGGGCCCTGCCCTCAGTGGTACCTATAAGGCAGGAGTGGGTTGCTACCAGTTCGCCCCTGTTCGGCGAATTGGTAGCGGCGGGAGGCTTCGCCCACCCATCCAGACATCATCAAAAACGCACTATGAATGCACAGAACCTTCTGCACACCCGCGCGCTCCCAATAGCGAACTGGTAGCGCCAGGATTTGAATCCCACTTCTGCTATAAAGAGAGAGGGAAAGTAGAGGCAGATGGACAGAAGCAGAGTTGAAGCATCCTAGCACACACCTTCCTCCTTTTTTTGTGCATCACCACCTATAAAAAGAAAAGATGCAATCGGTTGGCTTTTGTCATGGTTACAATGGCAAGAACTAGCAAATGTTGCTGCCTAAATTACCATGTGAGTTTTGGCTGTAATTTGGCATAATTTAAGACTCCATAAGCAACTCAGTCTGGACTTGCAGATTCGTGGACGATCAAACTGACGAGTAAAGCAAAAGGGAAATTGGTCTTTTTGATTAACTTAATGCCCAAAGATTGTAATACAGGTAGTCCTTGACTTACAATCATTGGTTTAGCGACTGTTCAAAGTTACAACGGCACTGGAAAAAAGTCACTTGTGACCAGTCCTTGCACCTAACAACCGTTCCTGCATCCCCAGGGTCACGTGATCAAAATTAGCCAACCAATGAGTATTTACGATACTTGCAGAGTCCCTGAGTCATGTGATCGCCATTTACATCCTTCCCAGCTGCTTCCAACAAGCAAAGTCAGTGGTGGAAACTGGATTTGCTTAATGGCCCTGTGATTCAGTTAATAACTGCTGTGATTCTCTCAATAATTGGGACAACAACCAAGAAAATCTTACTTAAAGTCATTAACCTCGCTTAGCAACCGAAATTCTGGTCCCTATTGTGGCAATAAATTGAGGACTACCTTATGTCCACAATTGAACCCAACATTTCGGTTGCTAAATGAGTAAGTTGTTAAGTGAATTTTGCCCCATTTTACCACTTCTTGCCACAGTTGTTAACTGAATCGCTGCACTTGCTAAAGTGAGTAACCTGGTTATTAAGTGAATCTGGCTTCCCCATTGACTTCGCTTGTCAGAAGGCCGCAAACGGGGATCACATGAGCCTGGGAACACTGCAACCGTCATAAAATTAGAGTCAGTTGAGTCAGCATCTGAATTTTGATCCCGTGACCGCGGGGATGCTGCAACGGTCATAAGTGAAAAATAGTCATAACTCACTTTTTTTCAGTGCCGTTGTAACTTTGAACGGTCACTAAAGGAACTGTTGTAAGCCGAGGACTACCTGTAGTAGTCTCATCGACTGTAATTGCAATTAAAGGTTGCAATGAAGAGTTTCTAAATGTCATGCTCCCAAGACATGCAGTGTGGAGATTCGTGGCTCAGTCCAGGAGCACCCTTAGCAGAGATCCTCAGTCAGCCTTACAGTCTTGAAACCTGAGATTTACAGCAGAGATTGAGTAAAAAAAAAAAGCAGTAACAGATTCCTACAAGAGTTTTGTTTCTTTTTGACAGAGATCCAGAGTGAGAAAGCGTAAAATACAATAATGACATTTCCTGCTATTTGGGCTTTAGCGTATTACTAAATCATTCCTGTATTTCATGCAATTCATTATTGCTTAATCCACCTTCTGTTCCAGTTACTAGTTCAAGTGAGTTAATTTCTGCAACTAGTTGAACAGGCTTTTATCAAACCGAGGGAATGGAATTAATTTTTTATGCAATGCAATTGGTCATACTCTCTGTTAGAATTCTTTTTGAGTGAAGCTTTTCCCCCAGTGTGTATTAATTTAGTTGGGAATTTCTATTTTAGGGGTTTCAACGTCAATGTTGGCAGCTGTGTTTTCTCCAAATTTTAGAAGGGTCAGCTTCAGAATATAGGTAATCCTTGACATACAACTAGTGGGTTGCTACCGGTGCACCCCGGATCGGGCGAATCGGCGGCAGCGGGAAGCTCCACCCACGTGTGCGAGCGCCGGGGGTGGGTTCTACTTACCTTTACTACCAGTTTGCATCGCACCTGCGTATGCGCAGATCACCTATGATGACGCTCAGATCAGTGGGCGGAGCCTCCCCCCGGTTTTACTACCGGTTCTTGGGAACTGGTCTGAACCGGGGGCAACCCACCACTGGCGAGCGCCCACGAGTGAACCCGTAGCAACAGGTTTTGAAACTCGCCCCTGCTTACAACCATCACTTACTGACTGTTGAAGTTACAACAGTTCTTGAAAAGGATACCTACAATCCAGATTTGAAGTTTGAAGATGGCCACTCCCCATGGTCATGTGACTGCATTTTGGGTGCTTGGCCACTGTCCTACATTTATAGCTATTTGCAGGGCCCTGGTAATATTTTTACCAGAAACATGTTTAATTCCAGTTTATGGTAGAAACGGCATTCATTTAAAGACTATAGCATTCATTTTATGACCACTGCAAAAAAAATACATTGCAATCATATGATGATTTTTTTTTCCAATCAAGTTTCATATTCCCTTGCAGAGTAATCTATATGGGAACTGAGGCTTAAGCATTAAGTGGACAAAAAATGGTTAGAGTAAGCCATTTAGTTAATAGTTCATTTTTATTCCCAAACGTTGCAGAGAAAGGATTAAAAAGGCTCTCCTCAGAGATCAGAACTCATTTCTTGCAAAAATAATGGTGGGATAAAATTTTATTTATTCAATTTCTATAGCCACCCAACTCAACCAAGTGACTCTGAATAATAATAATATGTGCCATCCTGTTATTTTTGACTTATTGATCACATATTTTCTCCATGATAATCTGTCCCTCACCTAGTTTTTCCAAGTCTCCCAACTGCACTCGTGGCTGCTATGACTGACACAGGCATGAAATCCAGCAGGTTCTGACAGGAAATTTTGAGTAGTTCTGAGAACCGGCAAATACCACCTCTGGCTGGTCCCAGAGTGGGGTGGGAATGGAGATTTTGCAATATCCTTCCCCCAGGAGTGGGAAGGGAATGGGGATTTTGCAATATCCTTTCCCTGGAGTGGGGTGGGAATGGGGATTTTGCAATATCCTTCCCCTGCCACGCCCACCAAACCACACCATGCCCGCCCAAGCCAAGCCCACAGAACTGGTAGAAAAAAAAATTGAATTTTACCACTGGACTGACACCATCCTCTTTACTGCTGTTATTCTCTTTCCTTCCACCTTTCCCACATCACAGTCTTCTTCACAGATTTATTCTTTGCATAATATGTAGGATATAATCTGAGTGTGGTCATCTATGCCTGATTTATCAAATGATCCATTGAATGATAAATGATCACATTGTTACGTATAATAATAATACTGTGTGTGGTTCCGCAATAACTGAACTGGAAGGCCAACAGCATTCCGTATAACTTTGAAAAACATACCTTTTTAAAAAAAATAGATTTATGCTTATTAAGCATTTTGCATGAAATAAAAGGCAAATCTAAAGAAAAGCAAGAAAAAAAAGGGAAAGGTGCAAGAAAAGAGAAAGGAACTATAGTTATGGAATACAGTGATTTTTCAAGCCTCCCACAACAGATATCTACAATCTTATAATCATTGGGAATGAATGGAATAGGCTGGGGAATTCTGGGAGCTGGAAGTCCACCTATCTTAAAAGTTGCCAAATTGAGAAACTGCTTTAGGGTCTCCAGACCAGCAATGATTTCACATGAATACTGATCAAGGGAAAGCAGGAACTATAGGATGGGAGTCCCAAAGGTGCTTTTTTTCAAGAGGCAACTGGACTTTCTGGTTTTTCTTTGAAGACGTTTCGCTTCTCATCCAAGAAGCTTCTTCAGCTCTGATGCGTAGCTAAATGTTCATTCAGGACCTGGTTGTCCTAAAGGTGCTTTTTTTCTTCAAGAGGCAACTGGACTTTCTATTTTTTCTTTGAAGACGGTTCGCTTCTCATCCAAGAAGCTTCTTCAGCTCTATAGGATGGGAGACTGCTGTCTTTCACCCAGTCACGTTTCAGTTAGCTTGTTGTGTGAACTGAATTAAACATGCTGGCTGGGGTATTCTTAAGTTGCCCAGCTCAAGAGACATTGAATTAAAATTTTAGCACACTTGTAGCTATATAAATCGGCTCCACTGATTCATTTTGAAGCGCAGTGAAACGAACTACAAGTTAACAGGTTGCATGAATTTGGATTGGCTCAGCCATGTGGGAACGGCACGGCAGCCCAGCCACAACTAAACACCACCGCGCTTCCCAAAGTATTGATCCCAAAGTGTTGCTCTGCATGAATAGCTCTCTCTTCTTCACCGGGAAAGAACTTCTAAAGCGAACCCGAAAACTCGAAGCAGCGGATGTAAGTAGAGTTCCTAAGTCTAGGGCAGCATCATTTGACACGAGACGATCTAGCCGCGATTGTGGGCGTCATCTATGATCCGGGGAAGCCGCTCTAGCAGCGAAGCCTCCGGAGGTTGTCGCTCACCGGCGCCGAGGATGGCGTTGCTCCCCTTTGCCTTCGAGGAGTCGGTGTTCGAGGAGGAGGGCGGCGGGACGTCCAGGGCTGGCGGCCCCCTCGCTTCCCCCTACAGCGCCCGGTGCTGCGAGCCCGAGGTGAAGGGGGTGGGTGGGAAGGTTCACTGACCTTCGTGCCTCCAAACCCACGTGTTGGAGGAAGGACATTGCACTCTGCACATGCTCTGGGGCAAGCTTTTCTGCTACCCTGCAGAAATGGAGGATAGATGTGGCTGGGTTTAATTTAGTGTCGGGGGAGGAGGGGGGCATTGCTCCACTTAGATGACCGTCCCAGTCCTTGCAAATCTGAGCAAGCTGGGGTTCAATGCTGTTGTCATTGATCGTTGAGATCAAAGCAGGCTGTTGGAGGTCAGTGCCTGGAAAGGAGACCACCAGGACAGCCCACGGATGCTCTCAATCCCAGCCATCCGAAAGGGAGAGTTCCTGCGAGGGTTTTTAGGGTGCTTTTTCTATTATTATTATTATTATTATTATTATTATTATTATTATTATTATTATTATTATTATTATT